GAATATAAAAACATATGTAGCCATACTGAGCCGACCGGGTAGGCACAGGGACCCTGACAGGTGCATGTTAATCATAAATCCAAGCTTACAGTAAGTTTGGGGTCTGAGCCTTGAGTACTGATAGCACAGTATGGATTTTCTTCTATGTAGGGATGGGATTAGGCGTCGCAAATGTTGTGAATTGATTGGAAATGTGCACTCCATGTTCAACAGTGCGTTTGTGTTTTGCACCTCTTGCTGCTTTGCATATCTTGTGTATTCCAGCCAAAGCTTGAATGCATGTAATATTTGCCTTTCTGCCTTTGAGAATAATAATATTCTCTGGTTCTTATTTCGCTCAGACGCTTTCTATTTGCAATTTGAAAGAAAAAAAAGAGAGCTAGCAACACATCTGCATTTCAAGACTCCTGTCACTTGTCTATCATAACAAACATAAACAGTAATTTGCATTTCTAAATTAAACTTAATGGAACTTTCATTGTCAAGAATAGGGCGCAGGCACAACATAATTTACAATCATTTCTGACTAATCCATGTATCGAGGCAGCGAGATTGGAGTGAGAACTTTTGATTTACCTTGCAGTTATATGACTTACACTTTCTTTCTTCACTTTTTAATCCTGACACTTCTGACACACCTCTTGTTTTGGAGCATCGGCAGCGATGACATGAAGTTCGTGTATGAGGCGAAGAAAAAAAAAAGGAAAGAAAAGTTGAATATTGTTCATTGAGCTCGGCTCATTCGTGGATGTCAGTCTTCAGTATGAAAGAGAAGAATGAGCAGCATTTAACCCTGACCTGGATACTGTTACTTCCTTCTGAGGAGGCCCAGGAGAAACACACTGTGATCAAAGCGGCAGATTAAGGATCCTGTTTTACGCGGTTGTTTGAGTGATACTCTGACAGAGTTGAGGTCTGCGGTTAGAACTGCTATATAAAAAAAACGCATCATTGCCTTTTAACCTGATCAATTTCTACCACATGACCCTGTGCACTTCATAACAAAAAGCATCTGTAGTGTGGAACAGTATACACTGTCTAAAAAGATAAACACATTTATTGCATGTCATGCCAAAAGGCATGTTGCATAAGAACATTTTAAAACAAGCAGTTTATTTGTGACCAGCAAATAAATACCGGCAAGTAAATAATATTATATGTGATTAATACGATGTACGACGAACTCCTGATTTTCATATGATCACTAGAAGCAAGGCACGGTTGCATAAATCTTGTCAGGAACCAAGAAAAGAGAATTTGGTTATTATTAGCTAAGACCATATGTACCAATCAAAATAAAGCCTACAAAACAAAACATATTAAATACTCAACAGAGACAGAACTTATATATGAACCTGCCTTAG